AGCGCCGCGCGCTGCTGTTCCACGACATTCGCAGCCGTCTGCTGCGGCGGCGCAATATCGCGCATCGTGTCGCGCCAACCCGCGTAGAGTTGTTCGCGCTTCTGCTCCGACTGCGCGCTCGACGAGCGCTTGGGTTGGTGGCTGTCGAAGCCGGCGGGCGCGCCTTTGGTGGCCCAGGCTTTGTTTTGCCATTTTTGCGAGGACGAGGGGGGTGTGCGGCCGGGGGAGCGGAGCGAGGGTTGGTGCGAGAGGGAGGGGGAGAGTTGTTGGGCTTGGAGGAGTTGGCGGCGTTGGGATAGCGTCATGTCTTCGTCGTCGGCGCCGCGTTGGGAGAGGTTGGGTGACGACATTTGGGGGGTGAGGGTTAGAGCTGAGGCGCGGTTTTTGATCAGGCTCTCGCGCTTGCTGAGGAGGGTGTTGCTGGGGAGGGGGGAGAGGGTGTCGAGTCTGATGGCGGAGTTGGAGCGGGAGAGGACCTGGGGAGAGGCGATGGAGGGTGAGTGGGTTAGGGATCGCTGGTTGACGAGTGATTCCTGAGAGAAGGTCGAGGTGTTGCGTCGGAGTCCTTGGCTGCTGTTCCGTTGTGTTCGGCTTCCAGTGGACATCCTTCTTGATTCGCGCTTGCTCTCGTAGAGGAGCTCGTCACTGACTGGTGTGGGCTTCTCTTCCGATCCATCGGCGAGCATGATACCGGGTGACGAGGGCAGGAACATGTCTTCGTAGTCTGGCTTCTCAGCAGCCTCGAGATGCTTCGCCCATTCGTTCGTGCGGTAAGATAGGGCGATCTTCGAAAGCTTCTCCGGCATCACGTTCTCAGTCAGACTGCCAACCTGTGATCCGCCTTGCTCCATCTGTGAGCCTTGAGAGATTTCATCAGACTTGGTAGACTTGGAGTATTTCTCGCTGCTCGCCTTGGAGCTAGACATGACCGTGTCAGCCCTGTGCTTGAATGTCTGTTCCTTGGGCGAGTCTGCTGTCTTTGGGTCGGTACTGGTCGTGAGAGATTTTACGACGTCAGCGGTGTTCACTACGCTCTTCCGGTTGGGCACGGTGTCGGAGTCCTGTCTCTTGAGTCCAGGCTTTTCAAATGGGTTGTCGTGCTCGGTTCCGATTGGTGATTCGACTGGGGACAGATTACGGACGGACAGAACATCGAGGTCGTCGTCCAGAGTGGCGGCAATAGACGAAGCGCGATCATCTTCGTCACCTCGCATTCCGTTCAAAGCTTCTTGCGATGCTACCATATCCCTAGAGATACGTTGCCTCATTGCGGAGACATCAGAAACGCGCTTTGACACGCGCCTGGGCACCTCGGCATCGTGATCAGTTTCAGGAACAGCAGAGACGGAAGTGTTGTCGTCGTCAGTGTGCGCTTCATCTTCGGTAGGGACTTTGAACGGAAGTGGGACGACTGCTGGAGGTGGCGGCGGGGCTGTAGGGCGTAGGCTGTTGCTTTTCACTAGAGTAGGCCTCGAGTCATCCTTGGGAGCCTCTGGAAGAGCCTTTTCGTTCTCAGCAGTATGGGCCTCGGGTTCAATCTGTTGAATAGCATCATCATCGAGAACAGCGACAGTGACGGTGGCGTCGGGCTTGTCGGTACGGCTGGCAGATCGCATCATTCCAGTTGACATGTTGACTGTTACCGCGCTGTCGTTGGGAGAGACCTCCTTCTCATGGACATGAGTAAGGTCTTTGGGATCCGACGTGGAAGATCGGACACTTTCCTCGGGTACGTTCTGTCCGTTGCCATATGCAGCTTCCCATTGAGCACGTTCTTTCTGGAAGACCTCCTCGACCTTGCGGCCTTGTTCCTCCTCTTCACGGTCTTGATCCGCTTGTCTTTCGAGTTGTTGAGCGGCAGTCTTTGCGCGGTGCTCTTTGACTAGCTTCCAAACGCGGAGCTGGGAGACGATACTGACTACTGTAATGATGACAACACCAGCCAGCTCGGCTTTGATGTTTTTAGTAACCGGGTAAGTATTGGTGTTAAGAGGGAAGATGTCATCGTTGAGGTCTGCAGAGGTTAGCAATAATCTGCCAATACTGCGCGGCAACTTACTCCAGAGGTAAAGCCAGAATTCCTTCCAGCCAGAACCAGCCAGACAGTCAATACCGAGGATGGCAGCGGTGGCTCCGGAGAAGGCGATTGAGGCGATGAGACCGTAGTTGCGTGTGTAGTGACTGAACGCAAGCGAGTAGCCTCCAGCTGACATGCAACCAATAAAGATGGCACGACCAGTTCCTGAAGTGATCAGACCACCGTCTTTGACGCTGAGGAACCACATGCTTAGACAGAAGCCACCGAGTAGGCAGCCAAAACCTTCGGCAATGTCTGCAAAGACCAACGACAGGACTCCGAAGATCACCCCAGTGAAGAAGGCCGCCACGAAGAAGGCTCCCTGGATGGCATCCGAGACGGGAGGGTTCATCAAGTATACTATCAAAACAGTGACGGCGAGAGCGGTCAGGTAGGCAGCAGACCCGAACACGTATACCCTTCTCTTGTCAGTATGGGTTGGTAGATGGGTGTCAATGTACATACCACTTATTCTTGATACCAATGATGGCATATCCCAATCCACTAAGTAGCAATAGCACTCCAGTGACGCCCATAGCGGGGGTCAGCTTGGGGTGAATGGGCAGTGGGTTTTTGGGGTCCGCGGAGGCACTCTCTACATTACACTATTAGCCATCTCATAATATTTCTCACCACATAACTTACCAGAAGACTCTGCTGGAGTAGCATCATCAGATGGAGTCGTAGTAGGGACATCATTGATAGAGCTCGGTGCCGGTGTCTCTGATGGCTTGACCGAGGAAGCTTCAGTCGAAGAAGGGCGTTCAGACTCAATGCTCGAAGAGATTATTCCCGATGGGGTGGGTGTGGCAGAAGGCTGTCGAGACGCACTGTCCTGAGGCTCACGCGTCGACTCCGCGGAAGGAGTGTCATCCTGTCTACGGACAGCAGCATGAGGAGCTGCAACCGCAAACTGTAGGCATAGAACAAGCGCAAGACAGAGAACCAAGTAGTGACCAGAAAAGCGCATGGCGATTATGCGGTGTAGACGTGTCTACAAAGAGCCAAATGCCATGGAGAAATTACGATTAGGATTGGAATTCGCGTCTGAACGGTCCTCCGAGGATACTCGAAGAGGAAAGCGCGACTCCTGATATGCAGCGAGGTGGTGTCTGCAACAATGACGCACGAGCAAAGATGTCGAAAGAGCAAAAATCGACGTGGTAAAGACTGTTTCAAGGAGCGAGGTCGGATTACTAGTAGTAAAAAGAGCGAATGAAGAAGGAGTGTGGTAGGCACAAACGGCCAATACGCGAATGCAGGATATGCAAGTGGTGCAGACGAGATGCAGAAAGCAGGTAAACGGAAGGTGGAGGCGCACCTGGGCATATATCAGACGAGAGAAGCCACATGGGTGAGCGCCAGCATAGCCTAGACAGGAGATCGACGCCTCCTCCCGCAGGTTGCAAAAAGCGAGAGGCTTAGCGAGCACGGCCCTGTTCCTGCAATGAAGGAAAAAAGCAGAGCCCAGGAGCCCATCGAGCTCGGCGGCGTCAGAAACGGCGGCTCCTTTAGGGATGACCCATACTGCAACGGGTGTGGTGTGGTCCTTGGAAAGGTTGAAATTAAGATTGCAATGGCAGCCACCAGCCATTCTAACGTTTTCGCGAGCAACGCCTCCAGGTGCTTTAGGGCAAAACAAGTATAGTTCAGTAGCCTATATTCCTCATCTAGTATTGACACTTGAGAGCGGAGTTCGGACGTTACCCGGTGCCAGACAGCCGTACCAGACATGCGATGAGGCGTTTGAGGCTGCCGAGTGCCGTCCGTCGATAATGCCATGGAGGCGCGCGCTGCGGGTTCCCAGCGAGCTGCACGCACATATGCGAGATGAGTTGGTGATTACGTTCGCCAAGCAGGCACATGGCGGCTGTCCACCAGTGAGATGTTGATGAAGGAGAACGCGTCGAACGCGTCGTGAGCTGAGGTGCAGCCATTCGTAGGTAGGGCTGCAAACTCCGTAGGCAGGGGTCTCGCTACGTGCCCATGCATAAGCTGCCGCAGCGTGCATAAAGACCCTCCGCAAGGGCGCTCCTCACATAACAACGTGCAGCCCAGTGAGCCTCAGCCCGTAGTCCGCCCGCAAGGTTCAAGCCTCCAACTATCGTTATCTGTAAGATCTTTCATTTTTCTTCAGCTCCCCGAGGCGGAGGGATATGTAGTCTGGATCGAAGCAAAAAGTTCATCATCGCGTTGCCCGAAAGGGAGCGATGATGTGACTGGCACGGCATCTCCTGTAACCGATGCTCATCAGATCTGCAAGCAGCCGTGCGCGTTGCCGACGATCCAGTTCTGAGCGAACCTTCGCGTGGGAATCACTTCCGTGCTTCCTGACGTTAGCACTAGCGATTCGAGCTATCGGCTTACCTCCTGTCACTAGTTTCACGACACCCTCAGACAGTTCTCACAGCTGCACTTCTCGAATTTCATAGATTTGACGTTTGTCGGCTCGCGCCTCATTGTCGAGGCATCGTATCGTCATCTGTTTCACATAGGTCGTTGCACAGATCCTACTCGGAGTTTTGGCATGGTAGCCCGGAGGTCTGCACGTGGTTCCAAAACTATAGTGGGTCCCGTAAGATTGGCAATACATGCAAAAAGCTTCCGGGTTGAGGCGCAGGCACCTCTGCGAGTTACAAGATCCAGTTTCGATGTCCATCTTCCAATACACACAACTAGGTTTTGACAAGAAAGGAGTGATGGACATGGTAGCATGCAGATTGGGGGTAGTGGGAACGTATCGATGCTGGATGCGCGGTGAAAGTCGACGCTATCAGTGTATAACACATCGCATCACATCGTTAATACCTGGTTCAGATCGATCGAAGATGCAAACGGCTTCAGAATACCGTTTTAACCGAAGGCTCCTACCAACTTGCCAGCTGTAGCGAGCTGCGCATACTGTACGTGCTCAACGGTGTGTTCATCCGTCCACCAGACAACAGCTGTCAACTGCTCCGAATCCCGCTGCCACACCGCCCTCCTCGCTCTGGTCACCTTTGGTGCGGAGTAGATATCCAGCCTCCCAGTTCTCCAAGATCTCGCCCTTGTTTCCATCTCCATTCCCGTCTCTCCAGAGGCACACGCCGTACACTCCAAGCTCGCAAATCACGCCACCCCTCTGCAACTCACCGTTCCGGAGAATGGCGTTTGTCAGTGGAGGTGGCTCAATCATCTCCATTAGGATGTATGCCGGCCAATGAGTCTCGGGCAGCTTCTGCAGAAATGGTGGGATGGCTTTCCGGTAAATGTTGTTTCCTCCTCCTTCTCGTTGAGGTTTCAGCACATACTTTGTGGCCGAAGAGGCGTCTGTCGCAAGCTTCTTCGCTTCCTCGCCAGCCTCGCTGTTGTCGAGCGGGTAGATTGGCGCAAAGGTCTCCAGTACGCGCGCGGCGACCTTTTCGTCGGGTAGGAAGCGCTTGAGGTGCGGTGAATGCGGCGTAGCAAGCACTTGTTGAACCTTCTTGCACCCCGCAAGTTGGGTCAAGACGCTTGGGCACTTGATGGCACGGCTCTTCTCGAGATGAGTGCGGGCGTTCCAGTCTTCGTCCTTTGAGTAATCATCTGGTGAGTACCCTGCTCGAAAGTATATTGTTGTCACCTCGTACGACGTCGAGGGAGAGTTCGGTGGTGTGTAGACCAGTGTACGGTCTGTGTCAAGCTGAGTGTGAGACAGTGTCTCTCCGAAAGGTAGTCGGAAGGAGCGCACTCCATTATCTTCAAGCAGGGCGTATTCGAGATGTCTCTGATCAAACACATTTCTCTCTGGGTCCTGTACCACGAACAGCACGCATAGGGGACGCTTGGTGCGCGAAGTCCCGTACGCCTTGTGTGCTGTAGCGAGGCCCTTTGCCAAGGAAGAAGCTGACTGGCTCTGTCGCAAAGCCTCTTGCTTGATAATAGACGATGTTGAATTTGGGTAAGCGTCGATTGTGAGCAGGTACTTGTGTAACGCAGAAACTTGAGCCGATAGTCCGCCAAAAGACGAAGCAATGGTATTGAACTCGACCTGTTTCAAACCGGACTTTGGATTTGACTGCGAAGGGTCTTGATGTACCATGTAGTCTGAGCGGAAGAGCCCCAACGAAAGGTCCTGCACGTAGCCTTCTTTCTTAACCTCTAGATGGGTTTGCCATAACTTTGCAACAAAGTCGTCAACATGGACAAGCTCCTCCACGATGCTCTTCAACCATGTCTCGTCCCTGGCAATGGCTGAGTACAACTCGTTGTAAGCCTTTTGTATGGCGAGTCCCTCCTCGAAGCAGGAGCGTGGGAATAAGCTTGGAAACAAAGTGACTGGTGCTGTGCTTGCGAGTACACCAGACGGATCCTGTGATGGCTGGACGAATGACGGAGCCGGGCGAACCGCTAAGCCATGAGCAATCGACCAGTCCTTGAGATTGGATAGCAGATACTGCTCCTCCTGTTGAGATAGCTCTGGCGGGTATTCGGTGAGCGATATGGAATTCATGGTGGCTGAGTTGTTTCGGTGTCGTTAGAAGAGTAGATCGCTCAGGCAAGAGAGAGACTTACAAATGCTGTCGGCGCTAGAGCGATTGCCTCATCCTGCCCCGCCGAAGCCCGAGGCGCACCAAAGGACCCTGGTCGCGCATTTCAAAGCACGTATTTGGCGGCTTTCCGACATGACAGCAATCATTGCCAACTAACCTCACCGTGAAATGTGATGGCCTTGGTGATGCTTGCCCCTCGTCGCGTGATCAAGTGACAGCGCGCACTTGCCTAGACAGGTGCCCCACCTTCTACGCGGCGTCCAATCCGCGACTGCTGTAGCAAACATCTCGCATCTCTCGCCATCACCAAACATCAAACGGCAGCCACCGGGCTCTCACATCCAGCGCTATCAAACATGGACGACTATGCTCACCTACTCAGATGGCAGAACGTGGCAGGAGGTGACCAGATCATAGACTTGCCTGACGAGGACGACCTACAAGAGGATGATAATTCCGGGCTGGGGAATGCTGCTGAGGAGGATTCTCGATCAGTTGACGATGAGAATGAGGACGCAGTTGAAGAACCGAGCAAGCGGACCAAGTTGAGTGAGGACAAGATTGTCGATATTATCAACGAGCGAATTAAGTTCTTCACAAACGCCTGGAGACCAAACAAGGGTGTTGCTCGCGGCGAGGAGGTGGACTACGACCCAGTTGCTATGTGGACTGAAGCGGAGGCGAAAGGAGAGCGAGAAGCCCTGGCGAAAACGTACGAGACAGAGCATCTCTATTATAAGTCAAGACTGGATGAATTGTGCGACCAGATCGTCAAATTTCCAGGGAGCAATGCGGTAAGCAATAACGCCCTGACGGTACATATGACGTCTCCACTAACAGTGACATACTGCAGGAGCAAATACGGCGACAATGCAGCAACCTCGAGGTCACGGTCGACTCCATGGAATTTGCAGCCTGGTTACGCGACATCTACAAGCTGGAACCTGTTGACGACAGCGATGAAGAGCAAGTACCCGACGATCAAGACACCGCGATGCGCGACCAACCGGATATACCACGGACTGCATCATCTCTTCAAACAGAGCCGGGAAATGAGATTATTGATTTGGGTTCACCCCCAGATTCGTCAGACATCGAAGATGGAAATGCATTGCTATCGAGAAAGGACATCGGTGCTGAAGCTGATCCAGTCGAAGACCAGCTCGAAGACTTGACGCGATCATCGACACGAGACTCAGTCATCGCTGACAGCGTAGAGCCAATCATGTATGCGCACCCAGGGCTTCTTGAGCCTGACGGCTTGTCCACCCGTACGCCTATCAACCATGGAGATGAGCCTGAGAACGCCTCGATCGCCACAGTTCGCCGCTGGAAATGGGAAGATTTGGTCGAGCATCTTGACCGTAAGCGCGTGGTCTCAAAAGTCATCTACGAAATGAAGTTCAATGATCGCGAAGTCATTCGTAATCGAATTCGCCTTGTTGGAAAGACGAATCTGATCAAAGAGATCCGGGCGTGCATTGGCATGTTATGCAAAAGAGAAACGAAGTTGCAGGGCGTCCTTCCCCGAGACATGCCAAAGATTCTCGCGTTCACGAAGCTGTTCCTGTCTTGGTGGTTCTGTAGCAACTACTCCCGAGAACCCGATGCATCCAAGAAAGATCTTGAAGAGCTCAGAAAGTGTATGGATAGCGGGGCCGCTGAGACAAGTACATTTTACGACTATGTGTATACGATTATGGGGACGACGTTCAGCGAAAAGTCTCTGCAGCATCCTGACCAGCCATCTCAGGCCGAGATCATCGAGATTTCCGACGATGACTGAACCAGCGGCATCTTTTTTCAAGTACATGCCCTCCAGAAAGGGCCGTCTTGCAGGAAGGTCTAGGCCTCAGGTCTGACAGGCTGCTTATGAAATGTTGGCTCAAGCAAAGATGCCGAAGAGTGGGATTATCGAACCACGTGCGGCGTATTTCGGCAAGACTTTCCAGTTCCGCACTGTACGCTAAGCACGACCATGACTGAGTGCAGGCCGAGGTATGCAGACGAAAGTTTTGGAGAGATGTGCTATCCAGGCATATGGATTGCAGATCCTCTTGGAATCGTAGAGATCAACCTCACGAAATGGGACGGTGGCGGCTCCGAGTTAGACGGTAGAGGCCAGGTCGCCGGGCAAAAGGCGGGGTACGCTAAGATCACAGACTACACCTGAGTAGTTGAAGTGAGATGTTGTACGATTGAGTTGGAACATGACCAGGTTTCTGCAGTGAGGTGAACAAAGGTGGCAATTGATGCAAGGCGTGGAGTCGTATTAGAGGTATGGAGGGGCTGACAGGCGGCATTGCGGGTGCTGTCGAGGTACAGTGTGAGCCAGGCCCAGGACCCTTCGCAGGCGCAGTGCGAACCATCGAACTATCCGAGCAATTACTCTCCGGACTACCGTACCGCTGATGAAGATGGCGTCGGCAGCACTGCAAGCTAATATAGGTGGGCCAATCATGACGAGTGCATTTGATGCCGACGCCCGGCATGTTAGATTCCGCGCTATTACCGCATGTAATTCATGTAGTCGCATCTTTGACACATTTTCCAACCATCTTTCTCTCTCGCACTCTTCCTCACCTCGCCTTACACCCAATCTGCCCGCACATCTACAACACACCCAAAACCAATACACGCCGCGCATTTGACCAACATGGAGGCTCTTTTGCGCCAGTCGAAGTCCATGTGCCCGTTCTTACACAAGACGTCACCCGCCACGCTCCGCTCCCTCTCTACCACGACCACGGCGGCGGCCCGCCAGGAGGTTGCCCCCGGCGCTGGAAGCATGTCCAACCTCCAGGTCATCGCTCGTCGCTGCCCCATCATGGGCAAGGCGCTTGCCGTCCAGAGCTCCCGCAATGGCAACAACGCTCTTGCCGGCGCTTTCGGCGGTGTGCGTGCTTACCACACCCGCGTGAACCGCGCCAGGCTACACACGACGGCGTCCAAGGAAGCCCAGGCTGTGGATCTTGAGAGCCTGCGGGGCAAGCAGGGTACGAAATTCTTATGAAGCCGAGAGACCGCGTCTTGGAGGTAGCAGAAAATGTCGAACTGTAGGCTAACATCGCCCAGGACCACCATTCCCGCACGCAGCCCTGAAGCCTGCGAGCACTAAGCCCTCGAATGTCGCATCCGCATCCGCCCCGCAAGCCGCTACGTTCGATTACGAAGGCTTCTACCACAATGAGCTGGACAAGAAGCACAAGGACAAGTCGTACCGCTACTTCAACAACATCAACCGCCTGGCCAAGGAGTTCCCGCGCGCTCACAAGGAGTCGCCAGAGGACAAGGTGACGGTTTGGTGCTCCAACGACTACCTCGGCATGGGCCGCAACCCGCACGTCCTCAAGTCGATGCACGAGACCCTGGACAACTACGGAGCCGGCGCCGGAGGTACCAGGAACATCTCCGGACACAACCAGCACGCTGTAGCATTGGAAGACACGGTCGCGAAACTTCACTCCAAGGAGGCTGCGCTTGTCTTTTCATCCTGCTATGTAGCCAACGATGCGACGCTTGCGACTCTCGGAAGCAAGCTGCCCAATTGCGTCATCCTCTCGGATAGCCTGAACCACGCATCTATGATCCAAGGCATCCGCCATTCGGGCGCGAAGAAGATGGTCTTCAAGCACAACGATCTCGCAGATCTTGAGGCGAAGCTGCAATCGATTCCTTCCGAATACCCCAAAATTATCGCATTTGAGAGTGTGTACAGCATGTGCGGCTCGATTGGTCCCATTGAAGGAATCTGTGATCTCGCTGAAAAGTACGGAGCCATCACCTTTTTGGACGAAGTCCATGCCGTCGGCATGTACGGACCACACGGCGCCGGTGTTGCTGAGCATCTCGACTTCGAAGCCCACAAGGCAGGCAGACCCCAAGGCACCGTTCAGGACCGCGTAGACATCATCACTGGCACTCTCGGAAAAGCGTACGGCTGCGTTGGTGGCTACATTGCTGGCTCTACCAAACTCGTCGACACCATTCGCTCGCTCGCTCCTGGCTTCATCTTCACTACTTCGCTCCCGCCTGCGACCATGGCAGGTGCCAAGACCGCCATCGAATACCAGGCTAACTACCAGGGCGACCGACGCCTGCAACAACTGCACACTCGTGCAGTCAAGGATGCATTGAACGAGAAGAACATTCCCGTCATCCCGAACCCTAGCCACATCATTCCGGTCCTTGTTGGAAACGCCGAGGTAGCCAGGAAGGCGTCCGACATGCTTATGGAAGACTGGGGCATCTACGTCCAGGCGATCAACTACCCTACCGTTCCTGTCGGCCAAGAGCGCCTGCGCATTACGCCTACCCCAGGCCACATCCGCGAATACCGCGACCACCTAGTCGAGGCCGTCGACGCTGTATGGAACCAGCTGGGCATCAAGCGCACGAGTGAATGGGCTGCCGAGGGCGGTTTCATCGGCGTCGGTGAGGCTGGCAAGGAGGAGGTCGCTCCTCTCTGGACGGACGAGCAGCTCGGTCTGACTGACGTTATCAACGAGATGAAGTCTGGCCAGGGTGCGACTGGAATTCTCGAGGCTGTGCTTGAGAATGAGCGCAAGGCTACGGCCCAGGCTGTAGCTGCTGCGGCTTAGGCATCTGGATCAAGCAATTGCTGGGAAGGTCTGGTCGCTCGTTTCGTTATTTGAGACCTATGTAGTTGGAGGACGCGTTGACAGCGCAGCGAAATCTATCATCATTCGTCTGCGCAAGCATATCGTCACAATGCACATTGCCGTGATGCTCGAGTTTCGCATATTTGTGTTGTGCACCGGATCAATACGCCATAATAGCATGGACTCATCAATGTGATTGTACGACCATGTTTCGCCTATTGTAGTCGAAGTGAGGGTGAAAACGTGTCTTGCTATTGTCTGGTGGAGGACGGACGGGGAATGCACGGTTGCAGCCTTGGGTTCACGTCAGCCATTGCGCTAGTCGGAGCTCCCAGGGTTTGAGCCTCACGAAATCGAGACACGCTCCATCATCAACCCGCGCCCGCCCCAACGCGACTCCCCCGATTTGGCGCTGCCAACTCTCCATCAACCTGCCGCCTCATCCAGTCCTTACACTAATTGTCGACTGCGGCGCGCGCCTATCCATCACCGACACCCCGGCCCAATCGCGAGCCAGCGCCGCATGCTCTCCATACATTGCATCGACTCTCTTTTCGCGCCGGTCTCTCGATCGTAAGAGGGTGCCATCATGCCTCCTCCACCCAAGCGCAAGCGGGGCGACCGCACTTACTCCCAGGACGACGACCGCAGCGGACGACCGTCGCCGCATCGCCCCCAAAACCTCGGACTCTCGCACGGCCAGCAGCAGCAAGCCAACAGCCCGCGCGGCGGCGGCGGCGGCGGTGGCAGGCGTGGGAGCAGGAACAATGGACGCGGCGGTAACTCGAGTGTTCCGCAAAGTCCAAATGTCTCACACCCGTCGCCGACTGCCATGTCTCCACCCGCAAACACATTCCCATTGAGTCGGCAACCCCAGGCCGCACCATCCACTCCTGCGCCAGCGCCCACACCGTCACAGCCCTCGACGCCTTCTACGCCGCGCGAGGTTCCAGCCAGCAATGAGTTCCTGACACCAGACCGCGTCGCTCACTGGAATGGCCAGGCACGCGACGCTGTGGTGACGGCTGCTGTGGCTGCCCAGGGTGCAGGCGACCGACTCACCCTCTCGGTCATATTCACTGAAATCATCGAGGCGTCTATGCACCAGCTGCTAGACGCCAGTGAACTGGGATCCATAGTACGCGACATCACCTCCGCCCCAGCTGACGACCAGCTCGACCCAGTCTCGACGTTTCTCGACACGCTGAGCACGCTCAGCACGCTCACGCAGGATGAAAGCAAACACGCGTCCGTACGGCAAATGCTTGTCGCAACCGACATCGAGCCCGCGCGCATGCGAGCCGAGCTGGAGAACGACCTCTTAAAGTCCCTAGGCCTCGTCCGTGACAGCTTCTCCAAGATGGCCGTTCGCAAAGCAACCCACGCCCTGTACCGACAGTCCAACTACAACCTCCTACGCGAAGAGACCGAGGGCTACTCCAAGCTCATGACCGAGTACTTCACCACCGTGAACAACGAACCGCCTACACAAGAAGTCGTCGCCGAGACCTGGCAGCGAGTGAATGCCTTCATTGGCGCATTCGATCTGGACATTGGAAGAGTCCTCGACGTGACACTGGATGTGTTTGCAAACCTTCTTGTCAAGCACGGCAGGTTCTTCGTTAAGCTGTTGCGAACGAGCGCATGGTGGCCCGAGCTACGTGGTTTCGACAACATTACCTGGGACGAGGCCGAAGTACCCACACTTCCTCAATGGGCACGACCCGATGCGAAACAGTGGTACTACACCGACGAAGAGAAGGATGAACAATCACGGCTACGAGAGTCGCGCGATCGCAAATTCTGGCAACGCGTTGGCGAGTTGGGTGACAGGGCAGGCATCCAGGCGTACTTTGAGCTTGGAAGCCGTCGTATCACTGCGAACAACCGGCAGCCGGACCAGACATTACCCGCAGAGGGCGCGACGCTGTCGAATCAGCAGGCAGCGCGGAAATGGGCCGACGAGTGGATGGAGCAGACCAAGACACTCCCTCCCTCAGGCAACAGCATCGCCGCTCAACTGCTTGGCTTCAAGCTCCAGTTTTACGCATCCGATGTCCGCGATGCCTCCGACGAACTCCCCGAGAACCTCATGTATCTGATTGCGCTTCTGATCAAGATTGGCTTCATTTCCATGCTGGATCTCTACCCACATTTGTATCCTCTAGAGGAAGACATGGCTACACACAAGGACAAGCTCCTCAAGGCCAAGAAAGAGAAGGAAGACAGTGAAAGAGGTGCAGTCGCCAATGCGCTGACAATGGCCGGCGCACTGCCCGACGAGACCCCCGGCCCGCCAGCTGTTTCTCGTCTCAGAGATGCTGAGAGTAGGTCCAAGTCGGATACTGCACGAACCACGCCTGCCAAGTCTGACGAGCCCACCGATAAGAAGAAGGCTTTACCCGAGCCCAAGGACCAGAAGTTCACCCTATTGAAGAGTTTACTGTGCATCGGCGCGCTACCGGAAGCTCTCTTCATTCTTGGACGGCACCCTTGGATGCTCGACGTTTACCCTGAACTGCTGGACCTCATCTTCCGTCTGGCGCACCACTCCCTAAGCAAGGTTTACGAGGAATCCAGGCCAGCCGTAGCCGAAGAAACCGTCATCGCTACCAAGGGTGCTGGCAACCGGGGTATTATGAGACCAAGCGATTACGTTCCTCGACGAACTCTACGATGGGCCAAGCCTGACAAGAAGGATCAAGATGGGGGAATTGATTACAAGTTCTATTGGGAAGACTGGGTCGACAGCGTCCCCGTGTGCCAAGAGGTGGACGATGTGATCAAGCTCTGTACCAGCCTCCTAGGCTTGGTGGGACCAGAGTGCGGCAAGGACAGTGTTCTCCTGACCAAGATCATACGTATCGGAAAGAAGAACTTAGCGGACAACCCCTCTGAAGCGAATCGAAAACGATGGGTCGACTTTTCAGCAACCTTCATTGCACCTGCAATCACCTTCACCGGCAGGAATCCTGGAGTCATCAATGAGGCTTGGGATTTGTTCAGACATTTCGACACCGCCACTCGGTATACCATCTATCAGCAGTGGTTCAACGGAATGCTCAAGCCGGTAATCAAGACAGCTTTCAAGCAAGTCGAAGTCGAAACCAGGAAGACCCTGAGTCGCGTTTCCGCCACCAACACTAAAGAGTACGGTCGTAAGATTGCCAAGATCTCGTATGCCAGCCCCGGAATCGTCTTCAGGACCACAGTCAAGCAGTTGGTCAACTACCCCAACATGATCACTGCTTTGGTAGAGTGCAGCAGGTATCTTACCTTACTTGGATACGACGTCCTCACCTGGACGCTGGTTACATACCTTCTGAGCCCTGATAAAGAGTCAAATCAGGAAGATGGTATGCTGTCTGCGCCGTGGCTGAAGAACATCGCTACCTTTGTCGGCAAAGCTTACGCAAGATACAACTTGATGGATCCTGTTCCGATTTTGCAGCTCACCACGCATCAACTCTTGAATGCCCAAGGCGAGCTGTACATGTTGGACGTTCTCGAGCAGATGGTCAAGTCCATGGGTGGCATCAGCCTTAGTGGATCCGTCTCGGAGTCGATGGCTCTGGCGCTTTGTGCAGGCCCTGCGCTCCGCACTTTCACCCTGCAGTATCGCTTAGCAGACAACCGTACCCAGGCTGCTCCTTCAGCAAGGCGTCTAGTCAGGTGTCTAAAAGAGACGGGTCTGGGACCACAAATCCTCATCGCACTTGCGCAGCACGTTGAGGCGTACATTCACCGCAACGACCAGCTTGATGTACCCGATAAGCCTGTGCTCTTCACCGTCGACAAGTTGCGCTCCGACATGCTCCAGTATATGGAGCTCCTCCGAACATACCTCCCTGTGGACGACTTTGACGCTGTTTTTCCTTCTCTGGTAGAGATGATAGCGGACTACCACATCGCGCCAGATGTCGCCTTTACCATCGCTCGTACGAGCATAGCAGCCAAGGCCAATGCTTTCCGGGTTGAGCAACGCTCGAAGTTAGTTCCCGATGCGCAGACGAATGGCGATATTGCCATGAGTGGTGTGGAAGAGGCGCCAGCCGTGAACGGAGAGCAAGAGGCATCGAAAGCAACCGAAGACGTGGAAATGAAAGACTCCGCCGCGCCTGCAGAGTCTACTGGTGCTATTTCGGATAAGCTATCTTTGGCCGATGTACCAAACGCGGAGATTGAAGGTCTTGCGAGCCAGCTCAAACAACAGCTACCCGACGCTTTCGGCGACTACCCTTGCCTTTCCTACTACGTTACCTTCTGGCAGTTGTCTCTGCCAGACGTTGTCGCTGATGCCGAGAGCATCAAGCAGCTATACAAGGAGTCGATCGAAAACTTGGAGCGACAGCTGCCCGCCCCTGTTCCCGAGCGCCGCGGCTACCGACCCAACGTACCCAAAGCTGATTCCGAAGCAACGAAGGGTATCAAGGAAAACATTGCCAGGCTCAAGGAAGAACAACAAACTGTCACTAAGAACCACGCTGCGACGCAGGATAGTCTCCGCGTTGAGTTGCGCCGATGGTTCGAGGGTATTCCAATGATGGGTCCGCAGTGTGACCTCCTCCACAACGCTCTGCTCCAGGATTGCTTCATTCCTCGCAGTCGCATATCTCAAGAAGATGCGCAATATGCATTCTCCATGCTCATTTTCATGCACAGCTCAGGCGTGCCGGGATTCCGCATGAGCAGATTACTGGATATGCTCTTCAACGCCAACAGACTTACGTCCATCATCAGCATGTACACCGAAGCAGAGTCCTCATCTTTCGGCCGTTTCCTCGGTGGCATCTTGCGTGAGTTGCAAATTTGGCAGGAGAACAAAGATGATGCTTTTGTCAAGCGCGCCCAAGGTTCAGAGAAGAACCTTCCTGGCTTCGGCAGGGGCTACGACGGAGAACGGAACCCGACAAGCTTCTTCACGTACGATCAGTTTTGCATGGTCTTGTTTAAGTGGCATAAGGCTCTCGCGGCTGCGC